GTCAAGGCCGCCCGGTTTCATGTCAATGGCACAGGCGACGGGTACTTGGCCTGTTGGGAGGAAAAATAATAAAGGAGCCGCTGCTGAGCATCGCCCTTTCCACTTTGTTTGGACATGGTACTTGCTGAAAGGGTGGCAAGAATACATGAAAGTATCTATCTACAAGCGTTGCTCGGGCTTCCTTGTTTTGGGCGGCGCACAAGTGGGAACAGATATAGAAAGACAATGCTGCATGTTTGGCTCAGAGACGGACCGTGCAAAGGACGCGCCCGAAACGGGCCAGCGATAGACTAAACATGGCGCCGCCTGGCAATTTGAGGCATGGTCCGGTCTGGTGGGGTTTGAACTTTGGGTTTGCCACCGCTGCAACCGACAGGTTCCTTGGAATGGGCTTGCAAGTTGCTACAGGCACTAGGTATATCAGCTCAAGGTAGCAGCAGCAGAAACAGCAAAAAACGGTGTGTGTCGCAGGAACACGCACAAAAGAAAAAAACAAAAAGTGGTCAAACATGCGGGTTTTAGCGCAATCCGTTTAGGGTGCGGCAGAAAAAATGCAAAAAACGCGGGTTATAGCCCAATCCGCTTAGGGCGTGGGAAAAAAAGGGGGCCCGAAGAAACATGCCCGCAGCAGCAGAAGCAGCAAAAAACGATGAGTGTCGCAGGAACACGCACAAAAGAAGCAACAAAAAGTAGTCAAAAATGCGGGTTTTAGTGCAATCCGTTTAGGGCGCGGCAGAAAAATGCAAAAAAACGCGCGTGGGAACAAAAGAGGCCCGAAGAAACATGTCCGCAGCAGCAGAAGCAGCAAAAAACATTGAGTTTCACAGGAACCCACACGAAAGAAATAACAAAAAGTAGCCAAAAATGCGGGTTTTAGTGCAATCCATTTAGGGCGCGGCAGAAAAAATACAAAAAAACGCGGGTTTTAGCCCAATCCGCTTAGGGCGTGGGAAAAAAAGAGGCCCGAAGAAACATGTCCGCAGCAGCAGAAGCAGCAAAAATCGTTGAGTTTCGCAGGAACACACACGAAAGAAGCAACAAAAAGTAGTCAAACATGCGGGTTTTAGTGCAATCCATTTAGGGCGCGGCAAAAAAAATTGCAAAAAAACGCGGGTTTTAGCCCAATCCGCTTAGGGCGTGGGAAAAAAAGGGGCCCCAAGAAACATGTCCGATCCGCTTAGGGCAGCCTCCCCCTAAAAAAATTATTTCTTTCTGTTTCTATGTTTCTGTTTCTTTTAATCCTCTTTTTGACCAGGACGACAACCTTTGTTGTCGAACCCTAAATTTTAGGTGGCTTGCGCCAGGTATGCGCCAACACAGGTTCTTTTCTTTTTAATTCTTGGGGGTCCAGATCCCCTTGTCAGCGTTTACAGACCGTCAAATCACATAACCCTAAAAGCCATTACCCCTAATTCCTTTAACCCTAAAACACCATAACCCTAAAACCCTTTAGTCTTTAAACCCTTCAACCCTAAAATCCTTTAACCCTAAAAGCATCTAACCCTAAAACCCCTTAACCCTAAGATCCTTTAACCCTAAGATCCTTTAACCCTAAAACCCCTTAACCCTAAAATCCTTTAGTCCTAAAATCCTTTAACCCTAAAACCCCTTAACCCTAAGATCCTTTAACCCTAAAATCCTTCAGCCCTAAAAGCCTTTAACCCTAACCTCCTTTTATCCCAAGAAAAACATTTAACCCTAAAATCCCTTAACCTTATAATCCTTTAACCCTAAAACCCCTTAACCCTAAAATCTTTTAACCTTAAGTGCCGTTAACCCTAAAACCCGTAAACCCTAACAATCTTTTAACCCTAAAATCCTTTAACCCTAAAACCCATTAACCCTAAGATCCTTTAACGCTAAAGCCTGGGCCTTGGTTATGGGAGCCAATCCTGGCCGGGAGGCTTTTAAAGTTCGATTTTGGGTTCTTCGCGGCTCCGGGACCGGCTATAAAACTGCTAGTATGGAAATGCGCCGAAACAACCGTTTTGGGCCAAATCATGGCCGGGAGCCTTCTGCACCCCAATTTTTGGACTTTCGCGGCTCTGGGGCCGGCTATGAAACTGCTAATATAGAATCTATATGAGCCGAAACAGCCGTTTTAGGCCAAATCCTGGCCGGAAGGCTTTTGGAGCCCGATTTTGGGTCTTTCGCGGCTCCCGGGCCGGCTATAAAACGGCCAGAGGATTTTGATGGCTGTCCCAAACCAAGTTGTTAATATATCATTTTGAAAAGCTTTCTTAGACCCTCCTCCCGAATCACCGTTTTAAAGCAATTTTAGTCTATGTTAGGGGTCTGGACTGAGTAGTTTTTAGAAATGCACTGCATCTCCTTTGATCCTTCATGTTGGGCCTCGGCTGTGGCCATATGAGGTTTGGACATGAAGATGGCCTCCCGTCCGGCTGTCCCAAATCAAGTTGTTGAGAGATCATTTTAACGAGCTTTCTTGGACCCTCCTCCCGAATCACTGTTTTAAAGCAATTTTAGTCTATGTTGGGATGTTAGGGGTCTGGACTGAATAGTTTTTAGAGGTACATTACATTTCCTTTGATCCGTTATGTTAGGCCTCGGCTGTGGCCATATGAGGTTTGGACATGAAAATGGCCTCCCGTCCGGCTATCCCAAACCAAGTTGTTAAGACATCATTTTGAAGAGCTTTCTTGGACCCTCTTCCCGAATCACAGTTTTTAAGCAATTTTAATCTATGTTTGGGGTCTGGACTGAGTAGTTTTTAGAGGTGCATTGCATTTCCTTTGATCCTTTATGTTGGGCCTCGGCTGTGGCCATACGAGGTTTGGACATGAAAATGGCCTCCCGTCCGGCTGTCCCAAACCAAATAAATTATTGATACATCATTTTAAAGAGTTTTCTTGGACCCTCCTCCCGAATCACTGTTTTAAAGCAATTTTAGTCTATGTTGGGGGTCTGGACTAAATAGTTTTTAGAGGTGCATTGCATCTCCTTTAATCCTTTATGTTAGGCTTCGGCGGTGGTCATACGAGGTTTAGACATAAAAATGGCGTCCCGTCCGGTTGTCCCAAACCAAATTATTAAGATATCATTTTAAGGAGCTTTTTTAGACCCTCCTCCCGAATCATTCTTTTAAAGCAATTTTAGTCTATGTTGGGG